AAAGGAACGCCATGGTCGGGGTCCCTGGAAGACAATTTTGCCTGCCTTGTTTACGGTGGATTGGGTTTGGACCAGCCCCTCTGCCTTGCCCTCGATGCTCAGCACAGCCACAGAACGCCCTGAGAGGCTCAGGAGAGCCTCAGCCAAGCACCTTTCCACATGCTGGGCTTGAGTTCGGCACGAAAGGAAGGCTGGCTGATGATTAGATGCTCATCGGGACAAAGAAGGCTGCCAGCTAAAGGAATAAGGGGTATGACCTTCTTGAAGGAGAACAAAACTGGGGATGGAAGATTATTTCGACAGCTGCGACGAAATGAAGCATTCAAAAAGGGTGTCCTGGTTTGTGTCACCTGCAAGACCCATGCGCTTTTCCCACAGGGCATGCCTCCACCGCGAAGTACCGTGTTAGAGACACGTAAGGATTGCACGGCTGCAGTCAGAGGGGCGTTCGACGCAGGCCACTAGGGGCCAAATCAATGAACCCAGTGGCCGAAGGGACACAAAGAGCTTGAAGATGCTTGAAGGCACCAGAAATGCAGCAAGAGCAAACTTAAAGGTGAAAAGGTTGGCTTCAAGTGGTGAAAGGAAAGTAAGGAAAGTAAGGAAAGGAAGGAACCGGGAAGGAAAGGAAAAGGGAAGGAACCGGGAAGGAAAAGGGAAGAGAACGGCCCTCTCCAAATTCAGGAGGCACAAAGGCCAAGCCACCAACTCATGAACAAAGCAACCCACCAACCTCACCACTTCAGGCTTTGCCGGGCCGCATTCGGGCTGCGGGTGCTTCCCTTGAGGGCCGGCTTTCCAAGGAGCTGTCACATCGGCTCGACATGCTCAAATCGAACGCGAAGACAGCACCTCTCTCTCTCTAGAAAGATTTGGGTTTAATTAGAAACCAAGGAAACCAAGCAATGGCGGAACGCTATCTCTAGACAAGCACACCTGTTCAAGAACCCTACTCCGAAACCTAGCCCAAAGAATCCGTGGCAAGCTTCACCAATGTCTTGATTGCGGCCACATGTTCTGACGTGGTTGCTTCCCCCAGCCGCTCGTCAAACATAACTCTCTGACCACACAGGCAGCACCTCTCTAAATCATGGCAAATCAAGATAAATCAGCCCAACCGCCATTAGCACAGCTGGTTGCCAAAAGACAGCAGCGCACATCAGCTCCTTTCACCAACTTTGAGGTGTCTCAGGAACACAGCAAAGGCCCAGGACGAGAAGAATCAGCCGCTGTGGTTGGTGTGTTTTTGAGGGAAGGGCTCAGCCCTGACCATTCCATGGCCCAAAGGGAACCTTAGCCAACCCCCAGGGGTTCAGCCAAGGCGCTGCAGACCGGCTGCCCGGCCAAAGAAGCCTACCAAAACGCCCTCGAGAAAAGCGAGCGACGGGAAGGCCCCAAGAAAGGCCCTCCCAGTCAAAGAGGCCTAGGCCTTAGCTGGATGCTAAAAATAGTCGGGAAAAATTGCACATCCTCGTCTTTTCCCTCAAGGACCTTTTAAAATATGGGCGAGTTTGGGAGTTTGTTCAGATAGGGCTTCATGTTTTTGGTTCAGCTCATGGGGAATTGGGGCCAGAGAATGTTGATTCGATCGCAATAGTTCCAGGGGGTTGTGTTTCCATGTTGCGCAGGGAACGATGGGATGGCGCCCATGAACCATCCAACTGGTGGTTTTGTCTCAGGGGATACCCATCCGATTCCAAGCCTTTCTGGATCCCCCAAAACCCTGCAAGTCTGTCGCGATCCAATTTGCCAATGGTTTGGGCTTCATGCTCGGAAAAGGGCTGATATTCAGGAAGCTGTTGGGAGAGTGTACGCCTTGAAGCAGACTCAAAGTCAACCTTAAACCCTTCCAACAGCATCCTGATATCGGCCCTCTGCCGAGCCTCCACAAACCCAAGACCCGCCCTCAACAAGACCTGAGTAAGCCCAACACTTACCTGAACCCAGCCCCGAGCAACTCCCTGAACTAAAACGAATCACGATCGGGCTGGTGATGCTGGGCAACTCTGGCCAATACGCAGCCCCCCAACCAACCAACCAACCAACCAACCAACCAACCAACCAACCAACCAACCAACCAACCAACCAACCAACCAACCAACCAACCAACCAACCAACCAGCCAGCCAGCCAGCCAGCCAGCCAGCCAGCCAGCCAGCCAGCCAGCCAGCCAGCCAGCCCCCTGGGCCCCCCGCCCCCCCAAAAAAAAGAAGAAGAAGAAAGAAACAGAAGTGTGGAATAGCAAAAGGAATGTCCCTTCACCAACGCAACTCTAAACTATATGGTGTTTCTTCCATGCGAACGCGCAGTCACAGAAATGCGCTCCATGGCTTTCGCCGTGAGAACAAATCGCGCCTCGCAGGAGACGAGTTCACCAAAGGCTTGCCGCTGCCGGCTGGACCTGCGGATCGATCCGTGACCACTTGGGATTCACGTTTCATAGGCCCATGGATTCGATTGTCCGCCTCGCTTTTTAGCCAGCCATGTTGATCATGCATCCCTAACTCTGGACAGGCTTCAGCTTTGTTTGGGCGAAGGGAATAATGGCAAGCCACCCACCCTTAATCTTTGCACGCTTGCGATTTACCATATAAGAGTCTAAATAATTAGAATCAGGTTGTTGGGCCACTATTGAACCTACCTCCCGAACATGGGAGTTTGACGCGTTAAGACTTGTAATCGTTCAGCGCCGCATGTTAACTTGTTCGCATCAGGAAAGTAGCAGCCAATCAGGAAAGTAAGCAGCAGGGGAAATGTATGGGTGTGTCTTGTCTTGGGCAAATTCAGCTGGGTTGTTTTTAAAGAACAACCTCAAGAGAAACCAACCATTTTTGGGGTTCCCTTATGCTTAGACAAAGCCATTTGGATCCCTGGCTGACTATTGGGGTGCTCAGGGTGGAACAGATTGGCACCACGGAACAACACGCAGTGCCACTGAGGCCAGTAGAGTCAAAGGAAAACAATCGAACATCACCTTACCAGCGCTTTGTGTGCAGCTAACCAGCTTGCGAATGCAGGAGCAAGCCTATCTACTTGCTGTTGGCTTCCTCGCCAATCTGCAGGGAAGTCAGTTAGCCGTGTAAAGGGCGCCAAGGGGTACTTAGGTGGCAATGGGTAGGCAATCTGGCACAACGTTTTAGCTGGAGGCACCTCATCGGTCAAGCCGCCAGCAGGTCATGCCACCCTCCCTCTCACAAAGCGAAGCGGCCGCGCTGAAATCAAAGGATGGCAAGAGCCAGCACCCCTCACCCTGCACATTCCCATTGAACAATTCTTTCGCTTCACGCAGCTGCTGACGCTGAGAAGGGTGGCAGGTAGACTGCGCCACGCGAGTGGGACATTTCACCGTGCGACACCAACAGTGACAATCCGCAGTTGCCAAAGCCTCACGCAGCACCCTCCGCGCACCGGTTCTCCGGGCGCCGGGCATTGCGCCGCGCAGATTTGCTCGAAGGCCTGGGGAGTGACTCAGGAAAACCGCAGAACAAGCTTAGGAAAGCTCAGCCTTGAACTCGAGCCCTTCACTTGAGTTTGAAGCTGCGTCTGGAGCTGAGTTGTTTTCGTGGGCTTTGTCTGAGCTGCTTCGAGTTTTCCTGAGTTGTTTCTGACGATTGTGATCTGAGTTGGTTGGGGAGGAAAAAACTGCAACTTTCTAAGAAAGCAAACTCAAACAGACACAAAGCAACTCAGCCAAAACTCAGCTCCACACTCAGCCTCAAACTCAATCGGGGGTACCGAGATCAAGGCTGATTTTTTTTGAGCCTTTTTGAGTTGAAGGCTGTTTTATTGTTCCTCCTTTTTTCTTCTGTGCTTGTTGGTGGTTGTGTTGAGTCCGCGTTTTCAATTGAAATGCTTGCCTGAATATTACTGAGTTGTTCTTTCGGATGACTCCCGTATAGAAATATTACGCACCCGGCTTAAGATTTTCCTGAAACAGCCTGAAACTCAGCTTGGTGGCTCACCAATTGTGGTCTACCCCGCGCCGTTTTGGGGATGAAGAAGGCTTGGAGGTTCTGACCCCAAAAACTGGCCGCAAAGCAAGATAGGGCTCGGAAAGTGAGCAAAGGGTTGGATGTCTTCCCAAAGGAACCAGGTCCAAAGGCCGTTGGTTCCCCCAGCTCGCCTCATCAAACTGGGCAACGCCGCCGCCCCCGTCGCACACAGCCAAGGTGACTTCGCCTGGCGAAGGAGAGAACACAGGCTGGGCCTCTACAACCAAACCTTCAAGTGAAACCTATCAAACACAATCCAGGGATCCCCCCAGAGCCTCTTTTGGGGGAAGTGAAAGAGGAAAGAGGACAAAGTGCCCGCAAATTTCATCCGCAACTATTTGCACCGCGATGGAACCCAGGCCTGATTTCTATGGTTTGCACGTGTTGCATCGCACTTTTTCCACACCATGTCGCGGAAAGAGGTTCTCCTCGACTACAACGTGTTTTTCCAGTTGTTGCAACCCCCCATCATAAACAGAACACTCCGTCAAACCAGTTTCGTCAAACGTGGAAGCCAACCGTGTTCAACATCCCCTGGCTTGGCACAACGCAAAGCAAGAAACTTCACCAAGGGCCAAACGCGCAAACGGCTGGGCAGAACATAATCTCTCACAACTTTTACTTGGAGTTGACTGGCAAGTGACCACGGGCAGGTCTCAAATCCCCTCTGCCTGGAACTCTGTAACGTCTAGCTTTCTGTCAATGGCCTTAGATCAGGGACGCCACTCTTAGTTGCAAGGGAGCCAACCTGAAACGCGGCTCCTTAAACGCCTTGCGCCGCCTTGTGTATCGACAAGGTTGGCACACTTCGTGACAACTTGCCATGTCAATACAAGACTACTTCGAAGGAAGCTTCATAGTGAAGCGCCCTGTCAAGCTGGGGTGCCACCCTGTGTTCTCAACTAGGAGTCTCGCCACCGCATTCCGCCCCTTCGGAGTCGCCTTCGCTTTCGGCAAAGCCTAGGGAGAGCACCGGGAGGGCACTAGGGCGCAGCTCCCGAAGCAGAGCCTCAGCCGCCAGGCAGTGGTGTGATGCCATGAATTGGCGGTGGGTCAAAGGTACCCAAACTAGAACCCTTGCAAATGGACACCTAAAGCCTGCTGTCCTCTCTCTGAGGTTTAGTTTTGACCGTACCCAATTGACAAACTCATGCAACACTTGGGAGGTCGAGAAGAAAGATTAATTCTGGAGAAGATCGCGATTTTAGCCCCTAGTGCTACAACACAATATGCATCATGTCGTCCTAGATCCACTGCCAGCCCTTACCCAAGAAGTGAAACATGCCTAATTAAGATTCCAGGGGCCACTCTGCTTTCCAAAGTCCATGTGGGCACTTCTACGTGAACCGGTGATCATTGATTGTGGTAGTCTGGTTTTTGATTCCGGTAGTCTATTTTGGGGCATTAATATCATGTAAACCTCAGGAATGGGCCCTTATTATCTTCATATTTGGGGTCATGCAAGTTCATGTTAGACCTGTGTGAGGCTCTGTGAGAAGGTCCCTCGCATCATGTACTACTGTTTGTCAGAGCCTTGCAGCGTGTCTGGCATTGAAACTGCATGGCCCCTTTCAAGGAAGTACTGACCAAAATACTGGCAATAAAAGCCCACTCCCAGGTTTACGTGAGAAAACCCAGCAAATAATTGCTTCCTTGGGGGTTACTGGGGGTTACTGGGGGTTTTAGAAAAGGTGTCGGTTTTGGATGCGCCATGCTGGGTCTAGCATAGTAGACAAAGTGAAAAACATGTTCTGTGCTTCCCAGTGTTTGTAAGAAGTTGTGATTTGCCACTTGTGCTAGGCCCAGACTGGCCCATCCAAAGCCGACACCTTTCTAAAACCCCTGTTTGAACACTGTAGTCAATGGAGGTAACGGGCGGCTAGCCTTTGGAATGGGAAGAAGCTGGTTTAAAACAAGCACGCGAATATAGCTGTTCAAGAATTGCCCTTCAAATTCTCAGTCCAAAGGCAGCAAGCCCGTCAGTAGGCTTTATGTTTGACAACGCCCCTGCTATCCCCTATTCTTAAGCTTGGGGCAGTTTACCTGGGCTGGGCGGGGGGGGGGGGGGCAGCGGCTGTCGCTGGCGGCTGCCGCCATAAGCAGCTTCGCCAAGCCAGGGCCTCGGCTCATTGGTTTTTCAAGTTTCCGTGGGCATGGCTGAACCATTCATTCTCTGACAGCCGAGACGCGGTTTTACCCAAGCCCCCAAGCGCCTTGTCGCCCTCGCGCATCCCTGAACCAGTGAACATTTATTCTGGCTGCAAGCGCAGCCGCCGTTAAACTCAAATTAAGAACAGAGCTAACGCGCGGCGCACGCAGCAGTACAGCGCAGCCCCAACGCTGGCACTAAACTACACAGCCCTACTACGCGTTGCGCCCTCAAGCTCTGCGCTCTACAAGGCCACGCCAAACGCTACCGCCTGCGCGCTAGTTCCCGTCTACTGGTCAGGGCATACTTTGCCAAAAATAGCCTACAGAAAAAACTCGGCGCAACTAAATGAGCTGCCGGCTGCGGCGTCCACGGCTTGCCGCCTCAAGTCTTTCACTTCTCAAGCAGATTGCGGTGGCCGCTTGCATGGCATATGGAGTAGTACCCACCGTTCTTGCAAACGCACTGCCCGTCCTTCCACACGCAGCCCCGATAACCCCAGCATTGCCGACTTCAGCGTAATAAGCCTTCCCTCAAAACCCAACCAGTTTGATGAAACTGGTAAATTAGCTTGACAAAACAACCAAGACGCAAACTAAAAACAGACACGTTCAGGCCAGCGTGCCCACTACATTGACCTTGATCCAAATAACCTTCAGGTTTGCGAGTCTCAACCAATTTAACAACGCGCTGTGCTCAGCAAGCTTCAGCCCATCGATTCGCTTAAGGCCCTGATGTTCTGGTTGTTTGTGTGGCCTGGTCTAAGGCCACGCTTGAAAGCAATAGTCGCTGCAGGTGGCTCCTGTTTGGTCGAGAGATGCGATACTTATTCGCGACCTTTGCCCAGCTTCAAAACGGTGGGTTGGCCTTGATGTGCCCTGACTGAAACGCCTGTGCAGGTTTGCCTTTGCTGCAAACACCCTTCAAGGATTGCAGCTTTTGGTACCTCTAAAACAAAATTTCTTTCTGGACGAGAGGCCACACAGTGTGGCTCCAGGGCTAGGCGCTTTCCTCCAAAGGGGTGTTAATGCTGGTGTTGCTGGGCACATTCTGAAACCCCAGGGGCCAACTCCCAATGAGAGCAAATATCTGGGTTGACCTCGCTGCTCCTTTGCGACGACGACCTCATTTGAAAAGTGTTCGGTTTTGGATGGGTGTGTTCTTCAAGTTCTTTAGCACCGTGGGCATGCTCGAGGTTCAGTCATAGCCAAGATCAAACAATCGTTGCCAGCTGCTTGTCCATCCAAAACCGAACAACTTTCCAGAATGCTGAAACAAGGGAGGGAGCCAAACATTTCTTTCCAGCACACAACCTCGTACGGTTCCTGATGCTGAGGCCAAAGCCCTGCCAACGCGGAGTCCCTGATGTCAGAGGACACAGCCGGGGCACCTGGCAGGCGAGGCAGTTGCAGGTGTCTGGAAACCGCTGCCCGTGTCTGGGAAACAACTGGTGCGTCTGGAAATCTTAAGTTTCCCCCACAGCCCATTTTCCGCTCAGCAAGGGGTTGAATTGTTCTTTAGCTTGTTGCTGGTCAGAGCCAGTTGGATTCGCTTGCTGTCCTGCCGCAGAATCTCAAGCCAGTCCCCAGTCCCCGTGTTTCTGAGTTCCAGAGTTTGCAAGATGGGCAACCAGTTGGGCAGCGAGAGTCGGACAGACCGTGTGAAGCTGCTCTTGCTGAGCGGTGGCCCTCAAGCAGCCTTCAACGCTCACAAGGTTCTGCTGGTGGTGGCCACCGACGAGAACCAGGTTTGGTCGTTGAAGTCAGCCATCACTGAGCGAGGCTGCAGCCCAGACTTGGTTGACCTTCCGCAAAGCAAGACAGGACCAGCTTTTGTGGCGTTGCACTGGTACAAAAACAATCGCAATTAGTAGGGCTTCGCGGTTGTTTTTTGAGTGTGTCCTGTGGAACTCCGTACCTGCAGGATCCTTGCGCTGGGCCCTCTGCAACGAGGACTCCATCATCCTCGCCACTGTGGAGACTAGTGGGCCGCTGGAGTCCATTGTCTTCGAAGGCATGGTCCTGGGGGTGCGCTATGGCAAGAAGCAAGAGGCCGCAGCCAAGCAGGCAAGCGCCAGCGACACGCCTGCAAGTGCAAGCGGCCACTCCGAGCCAAAGCCCGCGCTGGACCAGCCCGCGCCGGACCATCCCCATCCTGAGGCAGGCAAGCCCGATGCCACATCTTCCCCTGGCGAGCCCAACGTGCCACCCACCCAGGAGCCGAAGGAGTTTGGGCCCTCTGAGCCTGAGTCCGCAGTCCCTGAGCCTGGAGTCCCCGAGTCCCAGACTCCAAGGGCTGCTCCAGCTTCACGCTTGCAGATGGTGAGGGCCAGCCGTGAGTCCACCAAGTGCAGTGCAAGCAGTGTTGTGCTGGACACAGCTGGCGAGGGCGAGGACATCACGGCCCTCCCCATGCACGAGATTGAGCAAGCGCTGCTGAAGGGGAAGCCCCTTCCTGGATGGAACGCGCAGGGCAACGTTCAGAAAGATCTGGCGTACGTGAAGATCTTTTACAGTGCCCGGCTGCAGAACTACCATCCAGACAGTCTCTGGCCGCCTGTCACCTTTGACAAGGAGGCCAGCCGTTTGGTGCGCGAGCTCGGAGAGCAGCTCCAGCGCCTGCAAGGCAGTGAGGCGCGGCTGTCGGAGCAGTCGCTCTACGACATCCAGGTCATCAAAACCTGGGTCCACTACACCAAGCAAGGCATCGTGCCGCACGGTCCCCTCCTTGGCTGGGCCCGCATGATGGGCCACGAGCTCTACTTCCACGTTTACGCCGAGGACCAGCCGCCCTTTCTCATGGCGAGGGTCCCCAGCTTGCAGTACTGCGAGTGCCCTGGCTCAACCACTTGCCGGTAAAACCAAAGTGCAGTAGCCAATAGCAAAAACTGCTTTCACAACCATAATTAATAAGCTTCCATGAGTTGCTCTCGCTGTGGTTGGAGTTGTGTTGCTTCAAAAACCAAACCATACTAGTTTAAAAAACACAAGAAAACGAGAACATCGGCAAATATGCAATGGAAACAAGGTAAAAAAAGAAATCGATAAGTGTGAGAAAAAGCAAACACGTGAAAAGAAAGGGGTATTTACTTGTGCGCGTATGCATATATAGCTCAATGTAAACATATGTGTATCTATACAGGCACGGGGGCAGAGAGGTATGTACACACGTACAAGTAAATACCCCTTTCTTTTCATGTTTGTTGAGCGCTTTGTCTCATACTTATCTATTTTTGTTATTGTGTCCATTGCACATGTGCCTATGCTCTCGTTTTCTTGTTCTGTTTTGTTAAAATTGTTATGTTTCACATGTTCTTGACTTTCTGGCGTTGCTTCTCTTTCGCTTTCTCTCGCCTCTGTTCTTCTCCATTCTCACCCTCTTTCTTGTCTTCAACTTATCTTGCCTTATCTCTTCATTTCGCTCTCTCTCTCTCTCTGTCTCTGCTGCGGGTCCCACCTGTTGCTTTCCCTGCTTTTTGGCTCATGGCCTGGCTAGCCAGCAACTGCGCAATTTTCAGCCACACGGGGACTCAGTTGCTTGGGCAGTTTGGTGTTGGCTGGGCTGGGGTAAGCTGTCTGGCTGTTCACTTCTCTGCTGGTCCTGCTGTGAATTTGCTGATACCTAGCGCCGTTTGTGTTGTTGTAGTGTTTGCTTGCCTGCTGTCTTGCGCCTTCTGCTGCTTTGCATGGTTTGTTTGCGCGCTTGTTCTTTGCATATCCTTGTTTGCTGATTGGTTTGTTAGCTAGCTTGTCTGTGTCTTTGTTCGCTTGTCTGTCGCCTCACCATTCCTGACTGTAAGGCACCCTTTCCTGGACCACACCAAGGACATCTGCGAGGGCGTCAAGCAGCTCTTTTGCCAA